CCCACGACCCACAGGGGTTACCCATACCCCTGCTGAGCCCTACTCACAGTCTAAAATACACTATAACTGCTATTTGACACTGAGCGCTTGAAAGCACCTAAGTGCAGAATGTCGCACTATTGTCTAAATACTTCTGCTTTATCTCAGAACTTCCTCAGGTCATTAGAATCAAACTTGAAAGTTTGATGTGTAATCTGCTCTTTTTATTCAACCAAGTTGAGACCTTTGGAGAGAATTAAATTGTTCTTGCGCTTATTGTCCCAAGTTTGCATCAAGAATACTTGCATTTGCCTCTGGTAATTTTTTAGTGAAAAAGATTCCTAATTCGTGCTAAGAACTGACAAAATGCAGATAAATGTGCCTTGAGGGTTCATTGGAAGTGAATCTGACTGGTCTTAGCCAAGCAGTCAATACAACAGAATCTAAATCTATTTGTGTGGGTTCAAAACCTACCAAAGATTAAGTTGTCAAGTGATCGCCAGAGTCAAAATCTGTTTTTCTTGGACTGTGCAGGTTTAAAACCTGCCAAAGATAATTTTCATTTTCTATAAAAATGCACCTTAACATATGCTCATGGCCGGTTTGCTTACAAGCTCATCAGAGTTGTGTTTAGCCAAGTGGTCGTCATAACAGAATTAACATCTGTTTTCATTGAAGTGCAACAGGTTTGAAACTTGTTGAATGTTGCATTTTTTCTATTAGAACATGCCTTGAATATTTGCTCATAGACAGCATCCCAGACGCTGATCTTCATTGGTCTCAGTCTTATTCCATGAAATCACATCTTGATATTTCCTCATGAATGATATACATATGTTTTTGTTGTTTTTTCCTGTTAGAACACACCTCGACATGGACTCATGTATGCTTTCCTGAGAGCACCATCTTGCTGGTGGTGTGATTTCATAAAAAAAAAAAGGTATCATTGGCAGGGTTCAAACCTGCACAGTCCAAGAGAAACAGATTTTGGCTCTGATAATCACTTGCAATTTCATCTTTAGCAGGCTTTGAACCCACACAGACAGATTTGGATTCTGTCATATCAACTGCTTGGCTAAGACCAGTTAGATGCACTCCCAATGTGCCCATTCAGAAGTGAATACTCGAGATACATTTATCTACATTTTGTCAGTTCTAATATTAATTTCCAACATCCCCCTTAAGTCCAATCATATGTGATCCTTCCATTATCGGTTGTCACTCATGACCCAGTTGTAAAGAATGAGTTTATTGGAAGTGCATCTCACTGATCTTAGCCAAGCAGTTGATACAACAGAATCTAAATCTGTCTGTGTGAGTTCAAAACCTGCTAAAGATTGAGTTATCAAGTGATCACCAGAGTCAAAATTTGTGTCTCTTGGAATGTGCAGGTTTGAAACCTGCCAACAATCAATTTTATTTTCTATAAAAACACACCTTGACATCATCTCATGAATGGTTTTATCAAAAACTCGACTCAACTGATGTTAGCCATTTCATTGCCACAATAGATTCAAAATCTGTTTCCATTGAAGTCTGCAGGTTTGAGACCTGTCGAGCGACATGTTTTTTCTATTAGAACATGTCTTGAATATCAATATCTGCTCATAGACGGCATCTCAAACATTGATTGATCTTCATTAGTCTTAGTCAAGTTGTCACTAGAGTCAAAATCTGTTTCTCTCGAACTGTAACTGTGCGGGTTTAAAACCTACCAATGATAACATTTTTATTTTCATTGTATGAAATCACACCTTCACATTTCCACACAAATGTATAGCAAGAAAACACTGATGATCTCAAGCTTGATTGACATTGCTATTGGTTTTATGCATCCTTTGTTGCTAGGTGAATGCGAGTATTTTTGACACAGAGTTCAATATATGACCAAAATCTTGATGCAAACTTGGAAGGATGAGCATAAGAACAATCTAATTCTTTCTAAAGGTCTTGACTCTGTTGAAGAAGAAGAAGAAGGGCAGATTACACATCAAACTTGCAAGTTTGATCCTAATGACCTTGTTAAGACCATGCACAGAGGGTAGGACTGATTCCAAGGAGCTTGGCTTCAGCTCATGCGCTGCGCCCCTTACCTGAGTATGTGCCCTTAACTTCAGAATGAAGTCTGGAGAAAGTCCAGTGAAGTCCAAAGGATTTCCGGAGAAGCGTGGGAAACTTCGGAAGGACTTTCCGGATGAGTGCGAGAAACTTCCAGATGAGTGCGGGAAAGTTCCGGAAATTACGATGGAGTTTCATCCTGACGGGGATATGTGTAATGGCTACTCAGGACTTGTCCTGAGTAGAAGCAAACAGAGGAAAGACTGCAAGGGCAAAGTCCGAAGCAGAATAGGTCCGGAGGACCACGGGAAAGTTCCGGAGGAACTTCCGGAAACTTGGAGGATCGGAGGAATGGTGGATCAGAGGAGCGGAGGAGTGGAGCTCCGGCCTAGGGAATTCCTCCCTAGGCCTGAGATGGATAATTACTAAGTCGGAGGACTAGAACTGTTACGAGGACTTAGGGTGAAGGCTAGTGCGAGGACTAATATGTGTAATATTCAGACTGAGGAAGTATAGAGACTTTACAGGGTTTATATACTACAAAGAACATAACGGAGAATCAGTCAGCGCAGTCCGAAGCTATGCGAGGCTGTGGATGGAGGGTATAGAAAAGTCAAACACTAGTCTATCGGAAAATAGTAAATGAAGACGGAGATGAAGACATAGGAAAATAAAGCCGGAAATGAAACGAGGTACGGAAAATGAGTAAGTCTAACTCGAGAAGGAACGTACAAAGGGAAAAGGCACAGAAGATAGATGCGGGTCGAATCTGGATGTTTGGAAGTCCAGAGACAGGTGATTACCATAAGGGGATGGGCGCTGATTTAAGGTTTGAGTTCGGACATGACAGATAGGTCAGATCCGGAGATCCGGAGATGTGGATATCAGATCTGGCGTCCAGATATCAGATGCAGGAGTACAGGGATCTGGACAGATAGAGGATTGGGTCTGGAGACATGGACAGGAGGTCTGGAGGTCCGGATGAGGCATGGGAACGTCGTCGGATGTTGGTCCAGAATGCGGGATATGACAGACCTGGGGAATGAGGAAAAATACAAATATATCAAGGCTGAGATTGTGCCTTGAGGATTTACTTTTGAATGAGTTCATTGAAAGTGCATTCAACTAGTCTTAGCCAAGCTGTCATATCCCGCGTTCCGGACCCGGACCTATCACACTCATCATTTCCAGATTTCCGGATCTGGCCGACTTCTATGTATCGTCCGGATCCGACCCGCGTCTAACTTCCGTGCCTTATCCCTTTGGTATTTCCCTTATCAGTTAGTACGCTTTATTTTCCGTCCCTTATTCATTTCCGTCTTCATTTTACTAAGTTCCGATAGACTAGTGATAGTCGTCCCATATGTTTTCTTCATAGCTTTACATAGCTTCGCACTGCACTTACTGTTCTCCGTTATGTCCTCAGTAGTATATAAACCCCTGTACAATCTCTGTAGTTTCCTCAGTTCGAATATCATCTTAGACTCTGCTCATCCTCTCCTCCGTCCGACTTGAGTTTCTCTCTTGTCGACCTCCGCTCGTCTTAGGATTGACTCCTATAGACTTGTCACCTCCGCCTCTACCTTTGGTAGTCCTCCGCTGTTTCCTTTCTAGTTCGGACTTCGTCCGGATTAGTCTTATCTCTTGTTTCCGAACGTCCGCCGGAATTCCCATGCATCGGACATCGTTCGACAGCCTTTGGAAGTTAGGGGCACGTACTCGGGTAAGAGGCGCAGTGCACGAGCTGAAGCCAAGCCCTTCGGATCCGACCCTTGAGCGCGTTCTTAACACAAGCAGTTAGTACAACAGAATCTAAATCTGTCTGTGTTGGTTCAAAACCTGCTAAAGGTAAAATTGTCAAGTGATCGCCACAGTCAAAATCTGTTTCTCTTGGAATGTGCAGGTTTGAAACCTGCCAATGATGAATTTTATTTTCTATGAAAACATACTTTGAAATTTGCTCATGGTCGGTTGGCTCGCAAGATTATCAAAGTTGTCTTTAGCCATGTGACTGTCATAACAGAGTCATGCTCGTCCTTTGTCCTTCCATTACATGTCCATTCAGTTCATTGGTGCATATTTCTATTCTATTTCTGTGAATTCGGACAGTAATGCTGGTGCTATGCGCACACATTCTGTAATGCTATGTCATGGACCCTTATATTACATATTATCATGCACTCGCTTTGCTTTCGTGCTTAACATGACTGACATAGTTCATGTATGTTTTTCTCTCTTGACAAATTAACTGCCACAGATATTCAAGACATGTTCTGATAGAAAAAATGTGTCGCTCGACAGGTTTCAAACCTGTAGACTTCAATGGAAACAGATTTTGAATCTGTGGCAGCAATGACATGACTAACATCAGTTGAGTTGAGCTTTTGAGAAAACCAATCGTGAGACAATGTCAAGATGTGTTTTCATAGAAAATAAATTTTATTATTGGCAGGTTTCAAACCTGCAGTTTCCAAGAGAAACAGATTTTGACTCTGGTGATCACTTGACAATATCATCTTTAGCAGGTTTTGAACCCACACAGACAGATTTAGATTCTGTTGTATCAACTGCTTGGCTAAGATCAGTGAGATGCAGTTCCAATAAACTCATTCAGAAGTGAACCCTCAAGGCAGTTCTTTCAATAGTATGGTCACCATGATTGATTCTTTTATTCTACTCTTATCACAAAAGACATCAGACTTCTTCTGAGGCTCTTCACTTCAAGACCTGTTTATCTAGCAATTGCTCTAAAAAAGTGCTGATGGCAGACCACCATGGTGGGCCCATGATGTTTGTGATGTCTTGGTATTAACGTCTGAGCCACAAGCAACAAATGACAATGGAAGGATCACACATGATTGGACTCAAGAAGGATGCTGAAAATTAATATTGGAACTGACAAAATGCAGATAAACGTATCTTGAGGATTCACTTCTGAATGGGTTCATTGGAGTTAAATCCAATTGCTCTCAGCAAAGCGGTCAATGTGACAGAATCTAAATCTGTCAGTGTGGGTTCAAAACCCGCCAAAGATGAAATTATCAAGTGATTACCAGAGTTAAAATCTGTTTCTCTTGGACTGTGCAGGTTTGAAACCTGCCAGTGATAACATTTTATTTTATGAAATCACACCTTGACATTTCCTCATGAATAATATATGGTTTTTTTTTTTTCTGTTTCATTTTCCTGTTAGAACACACCTTGACATTGTGGCTCACCCTCCCAAACATCTGCTTTATATGGTGTTTGTGGATGCACTTTTCTGTGTCCAAGAACACCTCTGGGCTCCATGTGACATGGCTCCGCATCCTGAGCACAAATGCCTCAAATCATGCTTTGGGGTTGTATAGCTTTCATCCCACTGCCACACGGTACAAATGTATTTTCTATCTTTGATCCACAAGGCTTTGTTGATGCTCTCTGAGAAAACTTCATGCTGTCCAAAAGCACTCACTGCTTAAGAGGGTCAGGAAAGTGATGCTAGCGGTGTGATCGTAGTGCTGACCAAAACTGAATGTGCATCTCAACACAGTCCTCAGGCCAATCATGACCACAGACAGATTTCTTCAAAGGTCTTGACTTGGTTGAAGAAGAAGAAGAGCAGATTATACATCAAACTTTCAAGTGTGATCCTAGGGTGCACTGTATTTGAGACCTGCTCTTCTCTCACTTTTTGAAAGTGTTGTATTGCAGTCTGTATTCAATTCATCTGTTCAGCTGAGGGAAAACATTGTGAGTGACAGGGAACGGTAGACTTGCCTTGCAGATTCACTTTTGAATGTTTTCTTTAAGCATGCATTCAAATGGTGTTAGTCAAGCAGTTGCTACAACAGAATCAAAATCTGTTTCAAATCTGCATGTGTGGGTTCAAAACCCGCTAAAAATGAAATTCACAGTGATTATCAGAGTCAAAATCTGTTTCTCTTGGACCGTGCAGGTTTGAAACCTGCCAATGATAAAAAAAATTCATGTTTTTTCAATGAAACCACACCTTGACATATGCTCATGGTCGGTTTGCTTGCAAGCTGATCAATCTTGTCTTTAGCCAAGTGGTTGTCGCAACAGAATCAAAATCTGTTTCTATTGGAATGCGACAGGTTTAAAACCTGTTGAATGTCACATTTTTTCTATGAGAACGTGCCTTGAATGTTGGCTCATAGACGGTATCTCAGACATTGATCTTCATTGGTCTTAGTCAAGTTGTTGCCAGAGTTAAAATCTGTGTCTCTTGAACTTTGCAGATTTGAAACCTGCTGATGATGATATTTTTATTCTATGAAATTAAACCCCTGATATGGATAGTTTCCTTCAAAACCCATCATAAATGCTCTTTTCCATATCATAGCCACAATATATTCAAAATATGTTTCAATCAAAGCCTACAGGTTTGAAATCAGTCAAATGACACATTTTTTCATGTTGCAACATGCTCAATTGAATATTTGCTCATGGACGGTTTCTCAGACTTTGATCTTCATTGTTGCTAGTTCAGAAGTTATGAAAGTCGAAATCTGATTTTCCTGGACTGAGCAGGTCAAAAACATGTATTACTCAGCGTATTTCAAGCATGCAAAGTCCATGATAAACAGACTTTAATTCTGTTGTAACAACCACTTGGCTAAGACTGGTTATAATGAGTTTTTGAGACAACCATCCATGAGCAAATGTTGGAGGTATATTTCAATGAACAAAAACAATGTAATTAAATAGGTTTCAAACCTGCTTAGTCCAGGACAATCAGATTTTAAATTCATTATGGCAATAACATGACTAAGACCATTTAAGATGAGTTTTTGAGAAAACTCTTCGAAAGGAAATGTCAAGGTGTGATTTCATAGGATAAAAATATTATCATTAGCAGGTTTCAAACCTGCACAGTTCAAAGAGAAACAGATTTTGATTCTGGCGACAACTCAGCTAAGACTGATGAAGATAAGTGTCTGAGATACTGTCTATGATTCAATATTCAAGGCATTTTTTTATAGAAAAAAATGTGATGTTTCACTGGTTTCAAACCTGTTGCACTCCAATAGAAACAGATTTTGATTCTGTTATGACAACCACTTGGCTAAACACTAGTCTCAGCGGCTTTAAAGCAAACCGACCATGAGCACATGTCAAGGTGTGTTTTCATAGAAAATGAATTTTATCATTGGCAGGTTTCAAACCTGCACGGTCCAAGAGAAACAGATTTTAACTCTGGTGATCACTTGATAATTTCATCTTTGGTGGTGTTAAGACCATGCACAAAGGGTAGGACTGATTCCAAGGGGCTTGGCTTCAGCTCGTGCGCTGCACCCCTTACCCGAGTATGTGCCCTTAACTTCAGAATGAAGTCTGGAGAAAGTCCAGTGAAGTCCAATGGACTTCCGGAGAAGCGTGGGAAACTTTGGAAGGACTTTCCGGACGAGTGTGAGAAACTTCCGGATGAGTGCGGGAAAGTTCCGGAGGAACTTCCGGAAATTACGATGGAGTTTCGTCCTGACGGGGATATGTGTAATGGCTACTCAGGACTTGTCCTGAGTAGAAGCAAACAGAGGAAAGGCTGCAAGGACAAAGTCCGAAGCAGAATAGGTCCGGAGGACCGCGGGAAAGTTCCGGAGGAACTTCCGGAAACTTGGAGGATTGGAGGAATGGTGGATTGGAGGGTCGGAGGAGCGGAGGAGCGGAGGAGCGGAGGAGCGGAGGAGCGGAGCTCCGGCCTAGGGAATTCCTCCCTAAGCCTGAGATGGATGATTACTAAGTCGGAGGAATAGAACTGTTACGAGGACTTAGTGTGAAGACTAGTGCGAGGTCTAATATGTGTATGATATTCAGACTGGGGAAGTACAAAGATTCTACAGAGTTTATATACTACAGAGGACTTAATGGAGAGTCAGTCAGCACAGTCCGAAGCTATGCGAGGCTGTGGACGGAGGATGTAGAAAAGTCAAACACTAGTCTATCGGAAAATAGTAAATGAAGACGGAGATGAAGACATAGGAAAATAAAGCCGGAAATGAAACGAGGTATGGAAAATGAGGAAGTTTAAATCAAGAAGGAACATACAAAGGGATAAGGCACGGAAGATAGACGTGGGTCGGATCCGGAAGATAGACCTGGGTCGGATCCGGATGTTCAGAAGTCCAGAGACAGGTGATTACCATAAGGGGATGGGCGCTGATTTAAGGTTTGGGTTCGGACATGACAGATAGGTCGGATCCGGAGATCCGGAGATGTGGATATCAGATCTGGTGTCCGGATATCAGATGCAGGAGTACAGGGATCCGGACGGATAGAGGATTGGGTCTGGAGACATGGACAGGAGATCCGGAGGTCCGGATGAGGCGTGGGAATGTCGTCGGATGTTGGTCCGGAATGCGGGATATGACACTGTCCATGGTATTGAGGATGACCTGGAATCCAGTCTGTACGTCATTCTGTGGACAGCATTGATCTACAGGGAGAGCCACATGACTGTCATTGACTGGACACAATTCATTATGCAGATCTTTGATGCTCATTCATTGGTGGGATCTGGAGGATGTGCAAAATTGAATTGGCTTGTTGTGAGAACAGATTTTCCGCAGGATATATTTGTCGACTGTAAACTGCTTGACAACCTTGTCCTTGAACTGGCCCAGTTCTTCTTGCATTGGTACTCCATCATCACCCCTGAGGCACAGAAGAAACTTGTATGATTAGAAGATAATAGATGTTGCAGAAAGCTGTGTGCTGGAGTCTGCTGCATACCAGAAGGAGACGGGTATGGAGATCCTGCACTCACATGAGGCCATCATCAATATTTACGACAAGCACTTTGAGTCATCTGACTGGCCTGACAATGATGTGGCCATCCTGCAAAAACTTGTCAATCAGACATTATTTATTCATGAAGTCACAGGACACATCCATACAGTGTAGAGACTCATGCCTCTCATTGTGTGATATGGCAGTTTTCACTAGGGAGTACATGGCATGAACTTGTAGCATCACTCTGCATGCTATCCGCAGCTATTCTTATACAAGGCACAGCTTTCCCACGCTTCACGATGTATATGCGCGCGCGCTTTCCCGCGCTTGAGCGCTCTATAGCGCCAGCCACCTGGAAGCATCCATCCACTGTCCACCAAGCTCTCTAGTGCATATATTTTCATTTCTCTTATTTGCATATTGTTCCACCTTTATCTTTATCATGGACCCTTACTTACATATATCTTTACATACCTTACTCGGTAGCACTTCGGCTCTGCATGACAGCGCTTAGGCACCATATATAAGTGCCAGTAGTACATACCAGAAGGTAGTTTAGAACCCCCATGTTCACACTACACAACTGAGCTTAGTTGGAATCCCTCCCTAGAAAGTAGCACTTACATCTCATATCTCTATATACACGCATGCACTTTCCTGCGCCTCGCGCGCGCCTGCACTTTTCCGCGCTTCACATCAGCCAACCAGTAGCGCCTTCAGCGCCTACTACTAGATCTTTGCTGCTGTCATATCCCGTATTCCGGACCTACATCCGACAGTGTTCCTATGCCTCATCCGGACCTTCGGACGCACTATCCATGTCCCTAGTCCTCTATCCGTCCAGAACCCTGCACCTCTGCACATCCACATCCGTACATCCACATCCAAATCCCTTTAGCTCCGTACATCAGACCTCCATACCTCCGCAGCTAGCCTGCATCATTCATCCTTTGTCCCATCACCCTAAAGTCATATCCCGTATATCCACACTTCTCGTCCAGATCCGATCCGATCCGATCCGATATACGATAAGCTTCTTAATTCATTTCCTGTGCATATAACATTAACACAGCCTATTCCTCTATTCGGTATTCCTTGTCGTCAGTATCTCGGTTATACTTACTACTGGTATGCTTACTGATCCATTAAACCTATGCTTCATTTCTGACTTGCGCTTGATAACTTTGCTTATGCTTCATACATAGCCTCAGACTCTTGCTTACTGATCTTTCCATTATTTCCTTAGTATATAAACTCTGGTATATGTCCTGTAGTTCCTCAGTCTGAATATCATATTACACTAGTCTTCACACTAAGTCCTTGTATCAGTTCTAGTCTTCCGACTTAGTCAATATCCATCTTAGGCCTAGGGAGAAATTCCCTAGGCCAGGACTCTGCTTATCCGATACTCCGCTCATCCACTCATCCACTCATCCGCTCATCCGCTCATCTGCTCATCCACTCATCCACTCATCTGCTCATCTGCTCATCCGATCCTCCAAAGTTTCCGGAAGTTCATCCGGATCTTTCCTGTGGTCCTCCGGACCTATTCTGCTTCGGACTTTGTCCTTGCAGCCTTTCCTCTGTTTGCTTCTACTCAGGACGTGTCCTGAGTAGCCATTATACATATCCGTATCAGGACAAAACCTTGTTGTAATTTCCGGAAGTTCCTCCAGAACTTTCCTGCACTCATCCGGAAGTTACTTGCACTTGTCTGGAAAGTCCGTCCGAAGTTGCCCGCACTTTGGATGTCCTTCGGACATCTTCGTACTTCCTCTGGACATCATTCTGAAATTAAGGGCACATACTCGGGTAAGGGGCGCAGCGCACGAGCTGAAGCCAAGCCCCTCAGAATCAGTTCTACCCTTTGTGCACGGTCTTAACAGCTGCACTCGCTTCCCCTTTAGGGTCGAACGCACTTGTTGTGTCAAGTATAGCAGACTAGGCAATGCGCGACCTTACAACATTTATAGATACAGTCAGGAGCCTCGTTTGTGCCTCGCTGTATTGTTGAACCTTCAACGGGTACAAGTCACACCACTTGGCAAGAGATGTAAGCTAGATCCTGTTGATGACATTGAAACCCTCAGCTTGGTAGCTGGCCTAGATAACCTTGTATCCTTCGGTCAATGATATTTGTCTAAGACTTTGCATATCATGTATTCATATTACACTTACCACATGTGTCAAGTTTTCTGTCTAGTACCCAGTAAAATGAAATTATGTTCAGCATGCCTCTCAAAAGTTTTTTTTTTCATTTGTCTGATGTCCGATGGGAAGACCTTGACTCAGGGTTTGTATGGTTCCCGTTCCACAGTAAGTTCAGTATTTCTTGGTGATGTATATTAATACTGATATAAAATCAGGTTCAAGGAGTGCCCCTTGCTATTCTGAAGCAAAACGGTATGCTGGACCTCCATGCATATTCCACCCAGTTTCTTCAATTGAAGAATCTCAAGGGTGCGCTGTTGACTCCATCCACCAACTGGATTTAAAATGATTCAGAACACCATGGCTGGTCCACTAAGTGCTAAATATGTCCTAGTGTTCCCTAGATCTCATAGTCATTGTTATGTTGAAAGTAGTTGGTGATAGCTTGACACCAGTCAAATATGCTTGCATATCGGACTGAAGACGCGAGTGCATTGGACTTTGAGAATGTCCACTCACAGCCTTTAAGGTCTTCTAGCCCAAGGCCATCAACATAAGTGGCAAGGCGATCGAGCTGACACAGATGCTGATGAGCATGACCGTGAAACACACTGACGAGTGAGGTATGATTGAGTTCATGTGCACGGTGCCCAAGCACACTACGACTGAGGGTGGTCTTGAACCTGCACCCTATGTTGTACCCACTACCGAGGTCCTTGCCAAATGCATCAAGGAGCTTAGAGACTACAGCCAGAGGATATTTAGCCCTAAATAATGAGTCAGTAGAAATCAAGGTAGAGTAGTGACAATACTTACTGTTCGCCACTCTGAACTATGTCTGCAATCACAAGAGAGAACCTATGGTGACAAACCACCATGAATATTCCAGATTCGTCAAAAACACCCCACATTTTTTTAGTCTTCTTGTCCTTCATGTTCTTCCACTGGCCAGCACATGGGTTATCCTGAGTTTGAGTGAATTGCAAAGAATTAGTTAAGACAACAAAAGACTTACCTCATTGTCATCTGCCAGCATGTCAACAGGCAAGTCACCAATGAAACTGTCAATGAAATCTCTTGATAAGTACCAGTCACCTCCCACAAATTGCGTAGTTGAAAGCTCGCAGGAGCACTGAGACAACACTGTGGTGTTGTCTGAATCCATGTTGCTGTCTCTGATGCGCTGCTTCAACATGTGCTTGAGAGAATCATTGCCATCTTTGGTGTAGAGCATTCTAAATCTTAAAGGGAGTTCATTAGTCAATGTGTACGTGCATGCTGGACATGCATGCTTGAGCCTCCAATCTGGATCATTATGTCCAATTGCTGCATGAACAAGGCTGTTGATATTAGTAAGCATTTGCAAGTATATATCATATGCTATTGAAAATTGCCGAGACAGATACGCACGGAATTGAACCTAAGTCAAATCAATACAATGGTATTAGTACCTGAATAGTATATGCACTCACACCTTGTAGATCATACATTGTCTTCACATATGCCTGAATTGAGAAGTGGGGATTTCATTGACATGTTATGTGATAGAATTCAACTGCCTGTACTGTAATTCCAGTAGTTAGGGAGATCGGGGAGCAAGGTATGACCCCTTGATGAACAAGGGCTGAGGCAATGAATGTGTCTATCGGGAATATGTTCAAAGAAATATTCTCAGCGTCTAAAGTGTGTGTCAGCAAAACAGGTGCAGATCATTAATAGAACCTATGTACAGAACAGGTCCACAACCCTTATTGTAATAGTCCCTGCGACTTCCTCGTCTGAAGACACACTTCTGTCACATGCAAAGAAGCTTCAATTCCCATCACGGTTCTCAAATTGCCAAGTCATCAACGCCTTCCCTAATGCTGATATCTGCTTGTCAAAGGCTTCAGTGCAACACCTCATCCTGTCATGTCTGGTCCTAAAATCATGCTGATGAGAGCACGACCTTGTTTGATTTCTAGTAATATTTTAGTAAGTATTTCTACATGTGATAGTGCTAGTTGACTTACTGATTCCAAAAGTTGCCCAAAACTTTGCGGGTGAGTTCATGAAACTCTCCACCTGCATGGCTAATGTCAACTGTCTTTGACCCGTCCAGGAGACCAAAATTAAAGTCATCACTGCCACCGAAATCAGTCTCTTCTGGATGATGCTCCCAAAGTGCTTTGAGCGCATGTTTCTCTTCGGAGGTCAGCACTATGTAAGTACTCCATCAGTGTCCAAGTCAAGAATATTCTAAAAAAAACATTCTTACCTGCTAGGCGAGCCTTTTTGGGAGTACCCACACTGGCAGCATGCTGGGTGATTTTCTTCAGCCCAAGGACTTCACTCATTGGTGGAACACCATGAGCTGCAGTCTCTCAATGGGAAACCACATGCTGTATCTTCGAGGAGGTGAGTCTCATACGATTTCGAGGGTGTTTGCTCATGCTTGTGACAGCCATTAACATATTATTGATTTGATGTGAAACAGAGCCTTACCTGTCAACACCTGCACATGACTGTGCAGGTCAAGAGGAGACTTAGAATTCTATCTGGACAAGTGTGAATATGAACCACGAACCTCATCAATTGCAAGGTATGTACTGATATTGTGTTTCTTCATTTTCAGATTACTGAGCATGTTTAGGTCTGCAACAGCCAAGATCACTAGTCACTTGCACCTGGATGAACAAAAAGATGCAGATTGTTTCACAGCACATAACTACTTGAACAAAAACCATGCGGGAGTTTACAGAAACTGAGACTGAGACTGAGAAAATTCGCACCATGGACACCGAGGCAAAACAGGTGATCACAGGTCCAGTAAGTTCTTCTTCTCATTATGTTGGAACTATAATCTAACCTTGCAATAGTCCAATCTCCCAATCTTAAATTCACATATCAAAGTGCAGGTGCAAGGCATGCCAGAATGACCCTCTTCTCCAGCATCCAAATCTACTTCGGTTTCCTCTGAGACGGCCACATTCTTTGTAGATAGTGCAGTAGCATCTCCTCTGACGCCTACTTCCTCCCATTCCAGTGATGAGTTGTGGGCCCAAGTCGAGGACTTGTCAGACTTATTGGCGCTAGTGGACAGGATAGAGTTGCATGATAGCAGTGTTTGAGGGTAAAGCTAATTGCATACTGCGATCTCTATGTACTTACTTTGTCCATCTGAATGTTGGGAATTTGATCGCATGTCTCTTACTACTTGTCACAGCTCAGAGGGACTGAAATGCAGAAAATAGTAGTATATATGCAGAAAACAATTACACAAATGAATACATGAGTGTATCTTTGCAGTTTGGAGAGAGGAAGCAGCACTTGTTGTGTTTGCATGCAATTGAGTAACAATTGAGTATAGTTGTGCACCAAATCACTGAAAGATTCACAATGTCGTTTGTGCAATTCATAATTCAAGTTAAGTGAATTCTTATGTCCCAACACTAAAACACATCCTTGTTTTCTTGGTTCCACTGCAAATGATCGATAAAGTTCATTGAATTTCACTACCAGTTGGACAACTCAATCAACATCAACATGATGAAACCCAAGTAGAAATTGTGTATCATGGTGAACTCGTTTGCTATGTCATTCACTATATATGTTGTTCTATATGTATATATATTCACTCACTTCAAGCCTTTCCATTCGACATATGATTGGGGAGGAAGAATTTTTATAACATACTAGATATGGCTAGATACTATGATAATACTGTACTTCAGAAAGTTTGCTCAAAGGGACTGCAGGGGCATACTCATCAAGCTTGAGCTCAAAAAAAAACACCTCCACAAGAACTACTGACAACAAGTCATATATCTAAATATAAGTATCTTTCACCTGCTTGGACCCCTTATTTGGCAGATGGTGCACGAGAAGCTGAAGGTCACGCAGTATCACCCAACCCTCTCAGACATGGTCCTCACACTGAGAGAAGAACTTGTCTGTGGCCCTCCGCCCTTTCTCCTGCACACACAAAAGTATGTGATGGAAGTTCTTCGCCCATGTAGCTGCAGGGCCCCATTCAGTTTGCCACCCAGTGATCAATGTATGTATGTCGGAGATCTTGGAGAGGGATATGAGAGCTTTGAGTTGCACTGTCATTGAGATGTGATGATGGGTATCATCATCCTGGTCTGGTAAAGACTCTGGAGAAGATGTCCACCTATCACTAGCCTCTGAGATTGGCGCCTGCAGGTCCTTTTGCTGGTGTTTCCTGTCAGGATTCTGTTAGCGATCACAATACAGTGTTAGTTGAGCAATGAAGTACCTAGCACGATTCCTGACCATCTGATAAGTCACAAAAGGTGACAAGCATGATAGAAAAACTCACCGCTGCAAACATACTCGTGCCTTTTCACGTTGGATTTCATGGATACTGGTAATAACTTGATGATCAAGTATGATAATTAAGTTCAAAGACTTGCTTGGGCTTTGAAAGCCAGCGGTGCATTGCCTCATGCTGCCTTTACAATGCCATCAATACTAAAGGAATAAGCGGAATTTAGTACAAATTTCCGGTGTAACGAGACAACAATTGCTGGACACTACTCAAAGTAAGTAACCAGCAATATAAAATGTTGTGGTCTTGCACAGCCTAGTCTGCTATACTTGTAGACAAGTATGTTCGACCCGAGGGGTTAGCTATCTGGTGTTAGTCTGTAAGTAGTGAAATGATAAGTGATCAAAAGTCTGAGCACAGGAAACAAAGTCCGAAGATATAATCACAAGTCCGATGCCAAAGTGTCGGTGTAGGTTTACAACTCAGTGTGGTGCTATAGGCTCCAAACCAATATCTTTATGTTGTAGGTCGTCCAACACCTAGTCTGCTATACTTGTGGGACAAGTGCGTTTGACCCTAAAGGGGAAGCTAGTGCAGCAAAGGTCTAGAAATGAGCACAGAAGGTGCCGCTTAGCGGCCGATGCAAAGCGCAGGAATGAAGCAGCAGCCAAAAGCCGAAGGCGCGGGAAGAATGCGGCTGCGAAGCGGCCGATGCGCGAGTGGTTCAGATGATGATAGAGATGATAGACAATAGAAATAGATGTAAAGCGGACGATAACAGACGTGGTGCAAGCGGTAAATGGATACGGATTGCCAATAGCTACTAACTGTAGGCTAATGGGAGTTGCTACTGGAACATCCGGAAAACAAGCTACTGAAAGATATGTACTGCTAGTGCTTAAGTATTGCACTAAGCACTGTCAAGCAGAACCGAGCTGATGCGCTACCGAGTAGGGTATGTAAAGCTATATGTAAATAAGGGTCTATGACAAAATAAAGGTGGTGCAATGTGGAAATGGTCTGATATGTAAATATAATCATGGAATAACATACCATTGGGTTGGTTTTGGACTATGGATGGATGCAGAACATCGGCCAATGAAGCATGAGTAAAGCGCGGCTGTGCGCGCGCGTGGGAACACTGCGGCCGTTGCAGGAAAGTAGCGGCCGCTAAGCGAGGCTCACGGGAAAGCTGCGCTTCATATAGTAAAGCAATAGGATGCTGAGGGACACTGCAAAATAGCCTCTACAAGGCTGTAAGGACTTCCAGTCCTACATCGGGTCTGATGTTTTTGGGTTAGTGGGTTTCAGGTGCAGGTTCAGTGGGTTACAGAGAATAGTGATAGTGAATGTCGGGAAAGCGAGCAGTATGTGGATTATCAATAAAGACAGGTATTTTTGGATAGAAAGAGCGGTAATATTCACAATGTCAACTAAGAATTACGAAATATCGGGTTTGACCACAAGGTATTGGGGAACGGCTCCCCACTACTTGAATGATGAATAATGCTCGAGGTCAGTCCAATATATATGTAAGTACATATAAATGCGGAACCTGTAGGCGAAAGTAGCGGCGGAATATTTCAGGTCCAAAGTACATGTAAATAAACACGAGGCACTGCGGACTATGGGAAAACATGTAATAGTGCTTGCTGCAACGTGAGTAATGTGCGAAATAATCAACTATGCACCTAGTGGGGCTAGCAAGACAGGATGGGACACGGATAGGACAAGTGTGCAGGAAAATATTAGGTCCGCTGTGGCCGAAACATCATGTCTGCTAGTCAAAGCATCGGGTCCACTAGTCAAAGTGTCAGATTGAGCAGGAAGTGATTATCATGTGATGGGCATTTGACATGGATCATGAAATAACTGAATACGAGCCTAGCACGAGCTCGAGTGCTACACCAGATTGGCGATTTGGCTTACTGGTGAACGTGGCAGACACTTGAAAGGTCAAAGTGAGTGACAGAGATGTTGACTCAGAGGGATTCAATCACCAGTGTCCTGTGAATTAAGTAAGCACTTGTCAGATGTGATCTTGGGGTAAATTCCCCCAGCGTCAGTGACTGATGCCAGGGGAATTTACCTCCAAGGTCACATTATTTGTGCCATGGATATCACTCAACCAACCTTTGAATATTCCTGGCCATACCTCACCTATCCTGTCAGTGGGCGCCTCCAGTCTTACAGGGAATGTCACTGGATTATCTGCAGGTGAGTGAGTTTTCTCTATCATAGTGAGCTGGTGCTGCCAAATTCCTCAACAGAATCCTCAACAGCATCTTGCTTGCTTATCCATGCCCTGTCTTTCTTGATGCTACTAGCACATCGGCACTTACAGCTAAGCCAACACCCTTATACATGCAAAAGCACAGGAAGTTAACGCAGGTCAGTCATTTTACTTGTCGTCATTTTTGCAACTATCATGCTGACTGAAGCAATTAGTGCTGCCGTGGACCGGTTTGGTCCGGTTCAGAGGGTCTTAGATGAGAACCAAGAACCGGACCATCGGTTCGGTTCTGCAAAATGTCCGAACCCAGAACCGGACCATAGAGAACCGTTCTCTATGGTCCGGTTCGGTTTTTTTGGGGTTCAAACCCGAATTGAACCAAAAAAACAAAAAACTGTAAGAGCACACAAAAAAACATTGACATAGTACTAAGTAGTCTACATGTTGAGTAACTAATCTAATAACATGGTTGCTCCCCCAATTACCATGCATGAGAGGTATCAGGAGAGCAATTGCGATAACGAGGGGTTGACACAACCAGAAATAGGATATCACAGACTGCAAACAGTGGGCAACGACTTAGATCAGCATGGCTCGAGCTCAAACAAGGATCAACACACTCACAGACTGCAAACAGTGGGAAACAACTTGGATCAGCATGGCTCGAGCTCGAATGAGGATAGAATTAGTACTCACGATCAAGGTCACGTCATTCATGGTGAAGAGAGCATTGAATGTGAAAAAGTGGCTGAAAGCAGCCCATTTGCAGTGTCGCCTGAGCCGAAGGATATTGGGAACTGCATCGAAGGCGGGAGATTGAAAAGAGACTGAAGGTGCTTGTTTGGAAGCATGCGCTGAGCAAAGTCAAAGCAAAGTCGAAGTCGATAACGGTGTAGAGACTCATGCCTATTATGGTGTGATATGGCACTTTTCACTAGGGAGTTCATTGCACAAACTTGCAGCACCATTCTGTGTGCTATCTGCAGCTATCCCTATATGAGGCGCAGCTTTCCCGCGCAACGCGCGCCATGCGCGCACCATTCCTGCGCTTTACGATGTATACGCGCGCGCGCTTTCCCGCGCTTGATCGCCCTATAGCGCCAGCCTTCCGGAAGCATCCATCCACTGTCCACCAAGCTCTCTAGTGCGTGTATTTCCATTTCCCTTATTTACATATCATTCCACCTTTATTTATATCATGGACCCTTACTTACATACATATATCTTTACATACCTTACTCGGTAGCGCTTCGGCTCCGCATGACAGCGCTTAGGCGCCGTATATAAGCGCCAGCATTACATACTATTAGGAACTTTCGAACTTAGACTCTACCTCCCACTTACCACCCACATACTACCTAGGAGAACATAGTAGAAATCTATTCTTTGACACCTCGCACTCGTATCTCTTGTCTAGTATCTAATCACCACTTAAGCAGACTCACTCTTACTCTCTCTCATTACCGCTCACGCGCGCGCGCTTCCCGCGCCTCGCGCGCACCTGCGCGCTTTCTCACGCTTCGCATCAGCCGACCAGTAGCGCCTTCGGCACGCACTACTAGATCCTTGCTGCACTCGCTTCCCCTTTAGGGTCGAACGCACTTGTCGTCTCAAGTATAGCAGACTAGGCAACGCGCGACCTTACAACATTTACAGATACAGTCAGGAGCTTTGTTTGTTCCTCTCTGTATTGTTGTTTCTACAACGGTTTGGCCTTGCCAAACCAGAACGGGACCGTTTGGGAAGACCTAGAACCAAGAACCGTTTTCCGGTCTGGTTCTGGCTGATGTGAGAACTGTGGACCGAACCGCGGAGAACTGGACCAAAAGTCCGGTTCAAACCATGGTTCTGGACCGAACCGCGGCAGCACTGGAAGCAATAGACCAACCTCATGGTGCGAAATATTCACTTGATGAGATCCAAGACCTGCTGAAGGAGGATCATAGTATGCACAATCTGACCCCCAAGGAACAACAGGAATACATCAACAAACTCAATGAGCACCGTGCTCTTCAGAATATGAGTGTTCACGCAACTAACACCACCGCAGCGCATGATGTCCAGTCAACATTAGACAATGTCTTCAAGATGGTAGGTTTGATACAGTGCCATGTCTTACACCTTACTAATAAATCTATAGCTAGATAGCCTTGCAGGTCGAACAGGGGTTCATGTGTGTGTTAAGAACGTGCTCAAGGGTCGGATCCGAAGGGCTTGGCTTCAGCTCGTGCGCTGCGCCCCTTACCCGAGTACGTGCCCCTAACTTCTGAAGGCTGTTGAACAATGTCCGAAGGTTACCGGACGATGTCCGGAGGGCGTCGGGCGATGTCCGATGCGCGGGAATTCCGGTGGACGTTTGGGAACAAGAGATAAGACTAATCTGGACGAAGTCCGAACTAGAAAGGAAACAGCGGAGGACTACCAGAGGTAGAGGCGGAGGTGACAAGTCTATAGGAGTCAATCCTAAGACGAGCGGAGGTCGACAAGAGAGAAACTCAAGTCGGACGGAGGAGAGAATGAGCAGAGTCTAAGATGATATTCGAACTGAGGAAACTACAGAGACTGTACAGGGTTTATATACTACTGAGGACATAATGGAGAACAGTAAGTGCAGTGCGAGGCTATGTAAAGCTATGGAGAAAACATATGGGACGACTATCACTAGTCTATTGGAACTTAGTAAATGAAGACGGAAATGAATAAGGGACAGAAAATAAAGCGTACTAACTGATAAGGGAAATACCAAAGGGATAAGGCACGGAAGTTAGACGCGGGTCGGATCCGGATGATACATAGAAGTCGGCCGGATCCGGAAATCCGGAAATGATGAGTGTGATAGGTCCGGACCTGGAACGCGGGATATGACAGTGTGTCTCTTCACCTCATGTGGACATGTATATGACACCACCCAGGCAACATGGTTCGGGATGGATAATATTATGGACTTCTGGGAGGATGTCCTCCAAATGGAGGCCAATGAAATCATGTGAAAGCTGGAGCAATGGGTGTGCATGTTAGGTTGAAGTATGTCCTTTCTTGCTTTCCCACCAGTGCTATATTGATATCAACATCCTAGACATTGACGAGTGTGAGACGGTGCAAATCATGCAATGTGTTTGCACTTGTCTGCTTAATTCTGGGCTAAATACATTTGTTTTTTATATCTAATGATAAAAAAATACTAACTATCATGTTTTAGGAACTATAATTAAGAGATGTGATGTTCATATCAACTATGCTGCGATGCAAACTTTGGCACCACCATTAAAGAGAAGCTTGGGATTGATCTGAAAGGCTGGCCCGAGGGCATTCCATTCCAATCCCCCACCAGCCTCAATGATCACAACACCCTTCTGAAGCTCCGCAATGCACTTAAAGATGGCTCTTGCCATTGGTTCCGCATGTCCCCGCGTCAAAGGGAGGAATATACCACTCAACTAGCTGTGCACCACAAGAGAGGAGAGACCATTGGTAAGCCCTGCAAGAAGCGCTCTGATGCTGGGGTAGCACGAAAATGCAATGGAAAGGAGAACAGATGCCCAAGAAAGCATGCATGAGGGTCTGGGTCCTCTGTACAGCCTCCAAAGAGTGCAGAGTTTGTGGTCACATCTGATGAGGAGGAGACCAGCGAGGATGAAGCTTAGTTATTTGTTTTGCAGGTTTGAAGTCTCATAGTATACATAAGATCTAATACAATTTGCATTGGCTACTTATATACAAAAATCCGGCCGAAATCCATAAGCACGTGAGGGAGATACTCGAGCTCACTGTTGTACACAGCAAGCACGAAGGTTTGGCGATGATGTGGCTCGATCGGGACATGGGTTCCTAATTTGGCTCCCAGGCACTCGGGGACGGACATGGCTGAGGGCCCGCTTGGTACCTAGTATAGGGAGTTCGACAAACTGTTCAAGTCCTCAAAGCAGTTGAATCACCCCTCCCACATGCGGTTCAACATCAAAGGCGAGTGTGATAGTGTGCGCAGGAAGAAGAAGCAGCAATCAGCTGATGTCGAGATCAAGCAGGAGCAGCTAACACCCATACTAGGCAAGCGTCGCTGGCATCAAAGCCCAAGTCAAGAACAGGAGACACCCACCCCGACGCGAGTACGGTTAGATCTGACTGATCTACAGGAAGATGATTTCAATTCTACACCATCCAGCACCTTACATCAGCAAACTAGTGAAACCTTGTACAGATTTGTACAGATTTGTACAAACAGCACAATCCCACAGCTAAGTGCCTTCTTTACAGTCCTGTCACAAAGCCTTACAATCCATACACAAAGGCACAATATTGACAGACTGGACAGACTAGACAATGTAGACAGTGTGGACAAACTGGACATTGCAGGCAGACTAGATTATTGTAGACAGATCAAACATGCTGTGCAAACGACATTGTAACGGCTCATAAAATCTACTAAATGATGATATTGATATCCTCGCTGCCCGCTGCACTGTCTGAGTCATTGCAAAGTTCACCTATCATCCCCTCCTCGGCCCATTCCCTCAGCATCTCTTCAAGCTCCACACGACGTTCGGGAATGTCCATCAATTTGTCGACAGACTTTCGCAGTATGTTGAATTCAGCCCTGCACGTATCAGCGGTAAGGTCAGGCACCTTGTCAGTACCACTGTCACGGAAGCCGGAGAGAACATCCTTCGCCTGTTAAGCATTGATCAGCAAGGAATATAAAAATTGATTAAACCAAAGCCTACAACCACGGCCACCAGAATAAGGCTGTTGACAGGAATTTGGTGTTGAAATTCGTCAGTTAGCTTGAGCGCTTTTTTACTGTTGCCGTAGTAAAAACTAAGGCAGGCTTCCTTGAGAACCTGTGACACAAAATTGGTATATTTTCCCTGTAAACATCAATAATGAATTGTCGCACACCACGAGGTTGCCACTGACCTCAGAAGAGTCGGGGAGCTGAAGATATTCACCGGTCTTAAGGAGCTTAGCTGCTGCTGCACTGATGCGCTCCTTGTGCATTGAGTTGCCCTTCGAGAATATGCCGTATAATTGCTTCACGATAGATATCATGATTTTTTTGAGTTCCATACGAAAGGTGAACAGGTCGTCACAGAGCTGTTGGCTCATCAGCAAAGTTCATATTTAAGCTCGGTACTTACTAGTCGCGACATCGGCACTTTATACTCCGGGAAATAACCTTTACAAGGACATCAAATTGGAGCGACTTCTGACGGTGCAGGGCAACTTACCTTTGTCAAGCTTCACCTTCTTCGTGTGGTATGTCCATAATACAGCACTCAAAACCTCTTGTGCCAGTACTACCGCATCCTGATGAACTGGAAGAGGATGCAATAAAACTGCCTGCAACCGCATTTCCAACTTTGCTGCCTGCAGGAAAGCTTGCCAAGATGCTGGATAGAAGCTGAGCTTTGAGGGGTTACCTTGTTGGTTGGCGCACCGCACACCGTCTCCAGATTTGCTGTGTTGAACAGGTGAGGCACTACAAGAGTGAGATCGGCTTGAACTAGGAGCGGGAGAAGGTGTCCAATCTGGCTGAGCAGAATGCCTGGGCAGAGACTGTGACAAAGACCATCCATGAGAGGAGGGCAGTTTGTGACTGGAAGAAACCATAGACTGAGTTGGAGAGCGCCGACGAGGAGACAGTTTGCGGGAGGAAGAACAAGGTAAGCGTTGAGGGGACTTTGAACGAGTAACAGAGAGGTGTGCAGGTGGACGCTCTGGCCGCACACGGGTCGATGCGGTTTTTTCAGATGGTGCTCTGTGAGGCGCACGTCCAAGGGCCAAGCGCCCAGAAGAGGAAGAAGTGCATGCTCGTTCGAGGGAGGGGCGACGAGATCCCTAATGCAACAAATTAAAAACAACAGACCCGAAGTCACAAGAACTTACATGACTGGATGGATGCTGACGAGACTTCGAGCCAGCTTCATGTGGACGGGTGGACCTGTGTTTGCGAGAAGACTGGGGCACATATCAGTAATTGTGCATGATAAGCAAAATGAAACACGTGTGCGTGCTAAATGAGTCGGGGAGGGAGCTTTGCGTCGTCCATTTTTCATTTGATGGCGTTCAAGGACATCGAAAGTGTCTGTGGCTTTGTGATGAGTATCATCATCCGAGACCCGGCTGTCAAAATCCCCCTGGTCGTGATCCATGTGAGTATCGCTGTCTTCATCGTCTTCATCACTGTATAAGGCCATGTGGTCGACTGGAGCCCTTGAACGGACAAGGAGGAATAAAAATGTGAGGAAAAGATACAAGGTACAACTTACTCCTGCATATCCCGCAACAAACTATCTTCATCTTCGCTAGGTTGATCATTGTGATCTTGCTCATTGGCATCATTCTCTGACTCGTCACGTTCATCCAAATCCCGCATTGGGTCAGCCATACCATGGATGAATTCCCACTTCCAAATACTGCTGGTCGCGAGACCATCTCGGGTCATGTTCTCATAGGAGAGCGCCCACCTCTGAACGGCGTCCCGTCACAAAACTTCTTCACTAGGTCGGGGGGCCAGTGCACCCTTCGGTCCTATATACATCACAATAAATTTGAGCAGGATGTAAAAAAGCGACTCGAGATCGTCGCAGGGCGTATTTTGGACCAAATGGCCATCTCCCATTAGGCGGAGAACACGAAAGGACATGTATGGTACAGTCCCCTATAAACCATGAGGTTAACGCAAGCAGAAATAAGTGCGACATCGTAACACACAGTACCACGTGGACTCGGATCCGCTTTCCCATCATCATTGAGAAACTTTGCATGGTCAAAGTCTATAAAATAGCCTTTTCCTTTGTAAATTATAACATTGTTAGGGCTCAGGTCTCCGTGAAGGACACGTCGGCCCACCAATGCCTTGTGGGCTACAATTCATGGCGATTACAGAGGACATCAGGTGATTGCGAAAGAAACTCACCAACAATAAGGTCACGAAAAACCCCGATTAACTCAGGTACATCATTGAAGTGCGTCAATGGCACCCCGCAGGGTGTTAAGAGAATACGCCAATGAATTTTTTTTCTCGAATTTGAATGTCGAGCAATGACTACAAATGTGCGAAGTGGAGTCGGGCTTCCCATCATAAAGCACATCCCAATATTTCTTGAGTTGAACCACATTCGGGATGCCTTCGACCACTTTGAGAAGCTGTATCTCGACGTCTTTGACATCCTCGTTGACCCAACAATCCTTCAGTGCATACTCCTGATTAAACTTGTCTCGAACACGATAGCAGACGGTTCCGCGCTTGAAAAGTCCACGGCTTTTCCATAGAATATCCATAATCCAGTACACATTCTCGTCGTTGTCGTAAACCCAGCCTATCGCCCCGGGAAGCATGGCATCAAAGCCATTCGGTAAATTAGCGTGAGTTGGAATGGTGTTGTTGGATCAAAGCCAAGGGAAGAGCGATTTGCTAAATTAATGGTATTCAACATGTCGACAAAATGTACGGGGGATGTAACGATCGGGAGTGGTTTTGAGATCACCATGCCGGAGCGATCCATATAATGGGCACGAAGTTTGAACTTAGAGATACTAAAAATTAGGATGAAACGACACCATGGTTGCTCCCACATCATCAGATAGCCCTTGGTAGCAACCCCCAAGAACAAAGGTATTTTGCGATCGACAGAGAGGTCAGATTGGGTGATCTCAACTCCTGTGAGGACATCTTTCCAGGACTTTTGCGAGAAACTGAACTTTCTGAGCCTGTAATCCAGGAGGACGAGATCAGGCTTCCATGAATCGGTAGCATCTGGTATGGGATTGGTGGCAAACTCTGAAGACCAGTACCGGAGATCTGCTATCTCTGTGAAGGGCAAAATGTGCGAGCGCTGCGATCCATCAACACTGTGCTCTTGGACTTGCTCCTTGAGCAGTTCGCGCATGTGATAGTATACTGCCCGGAAAAGACGCTCCCGATTCTTTTCCTCCGTTTGTCCTACAGGCTTTGCTCTTTTCATTCCAGCCTTGACGAAAGCCTGCTGCCCCAAGCTGCCCTCCGTCTCTAGCATGGAATCCCCTTCAATTTCTATGTCAGTATCTATCTGCGACTCAGTCTGAGCCGCCTGCAACCGGGTACACCTAGCTGGCACCTTGCGTTTCTTCTGAAAAGCATTCTTGAGTCGCCATTCCTTATCGAAAACGGGAGCCCTGTGTATCTGAGTTTGGCTTCCCGGTACTTGTTTGATGTAAGTGATCCTCTTGATTTCCGATTTCTTGAGATTTGATAGAGGAATGAGGATTTTAAGGATGGAGGTCTTAGGCTGCAGGTCCTCCTCCCACAGAACCCGGGGATCTTGCTCTTGCAGGCCCAACTCACTCTTCATGAGTATATCCATTTTGTCCTTCGTGCGACGTACGGGATGGATCGTGACGGTGCTGACAGCCGCTAGGAGATAGTTGGCGAAAGATGTTGACATGGAGGGCAATTCGTTGTCCTGTTGTCACTGGCGGCGTGGTGCCCTTGTTCTTTCAGTAAGTTGCACAGAAATCGATCGATTTGATAATATTAAAATCAGTAGTGCATTTACCCGGTTTATACCGTAGCATGCGATAAAAGTGTTTTGCAGCTCATTTTCAAAGAGCCCTTAGTGTGCGTTTGAAACAGTACGTAGCAATGGTATCCGAAGCTAACTATCGGGGTTAGTGGCGCAGTGAAGTGCGTAATAAAAGTCCTTATCAAAATATTTGTTCAAAAAAAACTCTTGGGAGTAATGTGTAGACGTAGCCAAAGTCAATCGTACATCCGCCACATCCCCCAGGCGAGGGATGATACTAATAAATGCACGGAGTTGGCAAAGAGGAATGATACTACCGATAGGGGTACCATCTGCATGCTTTGCATGCTTCAACACATGCATCCCAGTGGCAGGATCGCAGGGGCCAATGTTCAGATGCCGCATGTAACAAAGGTACTGATCTTTCCAAGCGATACAAGAACCTCGACGATGGATTGGGTGCATTATGAGGCATAATTCGCAGATAGTGTGGCCCTGGGGAAGTGCGTTGATTATATACATTGACATATATGATGAAAAAGGACTCACCTGATAGACCTGATTTAGGCCAATCATATGCGGTATCCACATTGACGAGGATGGCGTCCTGTCGACCTTTTGGCCACCCAGGACCAGGAGGAGAGGCATGGATAGTTTGAGCCGGCAACACGATATTGGGATTATGGAAAGATGTGTGCTGGAGGCGAACCGTGTCCCATAATTGAACGTGGTCGAATGGAAGGATTGGTAGACGATCGATCGACAGTCTCCGTCTTGGACCCCCCACCCCATGAACTATTCCTCTCTCTCTCGCATCACGCTGTAAGAAGCCCGAAAGCGCAACATGCAGATCCGGTAAGTTGAAGTCAGTACTGACATCATCAACTTTGACTCCCGTGCGAGATGGACTGTAGTTGAGGTGGATGGCAGTGTTTTCAGCAATAAATGTTCGATGAGGGATACTGGAATCGCGTCTCACAGTAGCCAAATGCCTGGCTTTGCGGAAATAATGACCGCAACACGAGTGTGGTTCATCTCCTCAAGGAGTGCCGTTCATGGATTGTTTGTTTCCTGTTCGTCTCCGTCGTCCAGGTCATCCTCCTCAAGAATGTCTTCGGCCCTAAAATTAGGATCACGGTGTAGAAACAACAATACTGAGAGGAACAAATGATGCTCCTGACTGTATCTGTAAATGTTGTGAGGTCGTGCGTTGCCTAGTCTTCTATACTTGAGACGACAAGTGCGTTCGACCCTAAAGGGGAAGCGAGTGCAGCAAGGATCTAGTAGTGCGTGCTGAAGGCGCTACTGGTTGGCCGATGCGAAGCACGAGAAAGCACAGGTGCGCTGTAGGGATTCATTTCTGGCTGGGCTTGTAGAGACTGTTTTTACCTTACCTTATGTTGGCACTTTTGTAGCTTACATAAGGAAGTTATCTTTTCACCAGTTACCAGTAGGAGTCAGAGTACTCAGCAGTTTTTCATGATATTTCCTCTCCTCTGAGCCTTGAGCCTGGTCCAGAAACCCTTTAGGGTCAAATAGCAGCTAGGTTCTGCAAGACCCAACATTGTTCAGACTCACCATCAGAATTGTTGTACCTTCAACGTTGAAGGTACAACAATTCTGATGGTGAGTCTGAACAATGTTGGGTCTTGCAGAACCTAGCTGCTATTTGACCCTAAAGGGTTTCTGGACCAGGCTCAAGGCTCAGAGGAGAGGAAATATCATGAAAAACTGCTGAGTACTCTGACTCCTACTGGTAACTGGTGAAAAGATAACTTCCTTATGTAAGCTACAAAAGTGCCAACATAAGGTAAGGTAAAAACAGTCTCTACAAGCCCAGCCAGAAATGAATCCCTACAGCGCGCAAGGCGCGGGAAGTGCGCGCGCGTGAGCAGTAATGAGAGAGAGTAAGAGTGAGTTTGCTTAAGTGGTGATTAGATACTAGACAAGAGATACGAGCGCGAGGTGTCAAAGAATAGATTTCTACTATGTTCTGCTAGGTAGTAAGTGGGTAAGTGGGAGGTAAAGTGCCAAGTTCGAAAGTTCGAAAGTTATGCTGGCGCTTATATGGTGCCTAAGCGCTGTCATGCGGAGCCAAATCGCTACCGAGTAAGGTATGTAAAGATATATGTAAGTAAGGGTCCATGATAAAAATAAAGGTGGAACAATACACAGATAAGAGAAATGGGAATATACGCACTAGAGAACTTGGTGGACAGTGGATGGATGCTTCCGGATGGCTGGCGCTATAGGGCGATCAAGCGTGGGAAAGTGTGCGCGCGTATACATCGTAAAGCGTGGGAAGTCATGCGCGGGAAAGCTGCGCCTCGTATAGGAATAGCTGTGGATAGCACACAGAGTGATGCTACAAGTTCATGCTGTGTACTCCCTAGTGAAAACTGCCATATCATGCAATGAGAGGCATGAGTCTCTACAACAGGATGTGGGATGGCTCTTGAGCGATGTGGCGATTGCGAAATGCCGCAACTTCTCCTCCTGATCAAGATGATGACAGATCTGCGGGTCGTAATCATTATTATTTGTTTGCCGTGCAGGTTCCTTGATTTCGGAAATGTGTGCATGCTCGGTAGCGTCTGCAGACCACTGTATGAGGGCGCCAACTTTACACGTGCTGGAAGTGACGCTCTGTAGGAGCTCAAGCTTAGGAATATGCCAATTTTCAATAGGCCTCTTTGTGCCCATCCGCGTGCCTAAGGTCAAGATAACGTCTTTGTGTTCGTGAAAGGTCGACAAAGATCGGTCGATACACGCCAAGATATTGTCATCGGGTGCAGGACACTGCGCTAGGTAACGAAGATCCATGAGTGCACGGATCGTGATGACAAAACAACGAGGGGCTGCACCGGATATTAGGCCAACAATATAGCGCTGAATATCACGATGACCCCTACCTGTAACTTGTTACAGTGAACTACGCTGTCCCCTCTACCACCCCTGCTTGCCCTGCAAAGGCAGCGACACGTACCCGAACTCAGAGACCTCGGAGACCATAGACGATAAACCAGGCCTGTAGGCCACAGATGATAAAAGAAGATAAGCGGCAACTGCCGGCTTAGATAAGCAGTCTGGACTGCTGACGACACACATGACGACATAGGTCTAGAAGACCTATTTATGTTATCAAGATAGAAGGCAAGCCTCGTGTTGCCTCATGCACTGATAGAAGGACACCTCGTGGTCCTATCTTAGATAGAAGCCTGCCTCATGCATGCTATCTCTGACTCGATAGATAAGCAGATTAGAACCCAGCTTCAAGCTGAGCTTAGATACGATAGAATAGCCTTATATAAGGACGAGGATTAAAGTAGATGTTCCTTACTTTAATCTACTAGGTTTTCATCAGAACTTCCTCTGTGTGATCATCCCAATCACTCAGTCTAAGCCGCACCTTAAGGAAAGCCGACGCTACCTTAAGTGGAACCCCCGAACCTCTCATTCGAGAGAAGATCCCCGTCTCTCCAATAGCGAGCCCGCTATCAGATTAGGCAATCCGCCTAAGGAGAGCTCGAACTATCCTAGTCCGTAACATAACTTGTTTCAGTTTAGATATTCCGTCAGAAAAGTGGCGATAGCCAGTAGTCGGCTGTAATATTGAGAATCGAAAATCCAGTTCCTGAGCTCCAACGACCATGATACACCACTGAAGATCGTGGTCATAAAATTCTTTGTGCCAATGGTGCACAATGATTCTGGCGTCAGAAAGATGGAGGGATCTGCGAGCGGCCAATCCATCCAGAACGGTGCATACACGCCGTTCAGCCGCGAGTCAGCACAAGCCTCAAAATAAGCCTCCAGGTCATCAGGATTGACCGTGATGTTAGCGAGCTGTCCAAGAGTGATGGAGCGCGTATGAGCAGGGTGCCGGAAATTATCCCCAAACTGCAAATACGAGGCCATGGTGAAAGGAGAGGTCTTTCCGCGCACACATGCAAGCATGGCCGCCTCCGGGGTATCAACAATGTATGCTGCGAGAGGGGTAAAGCAATGGCGGACGTTTCCTACCGGATCGGACATCATAATCCCGACTTCAGCAGCTTTCATCAATGGCTTTAAAACGATCGAAAGGCATTCATGGACGAGACGGTCTTCAAGCATGCCCCGCATTCATTGATTGGGATGTAGATACTTTGGAATTGGAAGGAGAGCCGTGAGCAGGAAAGCCTTAGATGAGAGTTTTGTGTGGGTACACATGCGGATATTGGTGAGGCCTAGAAGAAGAGGGTGGGCAACCCTGGCACCAGTCATGGTGGTGATGTTAGTTTTGTCGGACGAAAGAACGGCGCCGAGAACTGTAGCACCTCTGGGAAGTTGTGTCTGCAGGATATATGGTGAGATGACGCAAAATTCAGCAGAATCAGTACTTACTTGCATTTCCCAAGCAGAATCTCCCGTTAACCATTCTGAATATACACGCAAAAGCCGCTCTGCTGTTTTGTAAACACGGCGAGGGATAAAATCAAGCTTGTCGTGAGGCAGTGGATTGCTGAAAAGGCTCTCCAAGCATTCCACGGGGTCCCTCCAAAAGAGTCGGATTGGAGACTTGGTAGTAGTGATGTTCCGGCCCGGCTTGGCCCAAAAGCCGCGGCTTTGGCCTGGCTTCAGACGGCTTTGGCCTGCAAAAAATCCAGGCCGGGCCAAAGCCACCAATGACGGCTGGCTTTGGCCCGGCTCTGGCCTGAGCCGCGGCTCGAGTAGGGAATTCATGGTCCTGACAAAGTGAGTATGAGCAGGTTGCTGTTCAACCGGGATTCGACCATATGACATACCTGCACATCTTAGAATGTAGTTTTGTCCTGCATGCGGCAGCCTGAGCGGCACGTCACGACAGCAAGTCATGTTTCTGCTTCCAGCCCCCCATCCAGAGTCGAGTCTACATGCGCAAATATACATCGCCCGTACTGACGAAAACACCACTTGTAGCGAGGAGGACAGTTGCCTTTTTGAAGTATATCAGTGTCGTCTTGAGCTCGCGCAAAATGAACACAGATGTGCAAAAACCGAGCCCATCAGGAAGAACTAGCAGGGCACATCAAAGACTTAGTAACTCAAGTGAAACATGAACAGGAAGCTTGGGAGAGTCTTGAGCGCGAGTTCGACGATGTCGAGAAGATGCATGAGTCTGAGCTCCAACGCGAACACCGTGCACTCGAAGACAAAGAATCCGCACTTTCGGGATATGGAACAACGGTCCAATCAACTAGAGTAATAATTACGATTCGGCGTGACAGGGAATGAAAATGAGGAATGTTTAGATTTGTGGGGTAATGTGAGTTTCAGGTCCGTAAGGTCTAGTGTCTGCGCTGCCGCTGTCCGTGGAGAACAGTATAATGTCCAGGCTAGATCACAACGTCCAAAAAGTACTAGGTGTCTGTGAGGGGTCATAATGAACATGAGCATAACTCAAAAAGATACTCACGCCGATGATGGGATCGAGGTACTCGTAATCTGTATCAGCAATACGAAAACCTTTTCTATATATGATCATAATATCAGCATATATGACAATATCTATGGCTCACCAGTCATCTGATGCGTATGATCAGCTAGTTGGTATAGTTAAGAGACATGAAGCACAATGGAAGTGATTGAAAAGCTAAAACAAGACGAGATAGAAGCCAGATTCTTGGGGCGCTGCAAGCCTCAGGCACAGTTCCAAAAGCCGCGGCCCAAGCCGGCGGCTTCGGCTTTTCATAATATCAGGCCAGGCCAAAGCCGCCACCAGGCCGTGACTTTGGCCCGGCTTGGCTTGGCCTATTCAGGCCCGGCTTGGCCTGGCCCACGGCCTGAAGCCGGGCCGTGCACATCACTACTTGGTAGGATGGATGGAGGAGATAGTCTGGCATTTCCAGCTTGGTCCGCTAGGGAGCACTTCAGCACGGCTTCATAGTTCTTTGGCGTTTTTGAACGAAAGCTGCAATCCTTGGACCTGAAAACAAGAAGTGTAAGTTGCGGTCAAGAGGTACCCGCTCGGGAAATGCCGAACATAAGGCAGGGAGGGGGGGGGGTCCCCCAGAGGTCCTTATTTGCGTAACCTTGGGGGGTGTCAAAACAGCTCCTGTTAGGTTCAAACACCAGTCTGAGCATCAAATGTATATTACTGTATCAAATATAGATTGTCTTAGATTGCAGAACATGATGACAGACGATAATTGAGCTGATTGAGACTTGATCGGGACCTAAACGCACACCCTGAACACCCAGCATGTCAAAGAAAAAAGCAAAGGTGTCCCAGCCAACCGTACGAAATAATCTCTCTCAGGGAATGAGTCCTCTGAACCTAATCTTATCAGGATGTCAACGCTTCTCGGAATTGCACTTCTTGCAACCAGGATGTGAACATCGGCCTTGGAGGCGAGGCCAATTGGAAAGCTCATACTGAGAGTCTTGAGCATCGGAAAAACACCAGTGCAGTTCAGAACAATCGAATGCTCACCTCTTTTTTCCAGCCAAAAAGTGTAAGTATGCAATCAGTTGCTGTCGCTGGCCCTGCAAAAGCTTGGCAGCCTGTAACTGGCACTGGTGAGGCACAAATTGCCAAACTCAGTGCTGCACCAGCAAGCAAACAGCTGCCATCGTGCAATGATAATGTCATTGACATTGAAGCACGAGAACTGGCGAATACATCAGCACCATGTGGTTATGGACTGCAGCTTATCCAGGACCTGCGGAATTTAGCCAAGGGATTGGCTCCAAGTATCCCAGTTGGTGCAAGCGACGAGCTCCTGTCACGCTTTGGAGGCGATCCCAGGCAAGAAGTCGAGGAAGATCAAGACCCTTGGGAGATGGTTAATCAGGCACTTGACAATGCTTTAGGATATGAAAAGACACCTGAAGACCTCGCACGATGCATGCGCCGTGGTAGTCTTGGTATTGATGGCCTGTGTAACTGGCTGGAAATCAGCATCCGCTTCTTGGGCATTCAAGGGGTTCTCCTTGAGCCGCGTATCGAAAAGGTGATAAAAAGCCTCCAAATCTGGTAAGTATGTGTTGACATCGAGCGACATCAAAACTCACCAGTGTTCTATCAGCGGAGCAAAAGCGATAGTACCAGAACCAGTTAACCACATTGCTGTAAAATCTCGTGGCTCGTTGGTGGCAAGTAAACGTGGGCCTGAAAATTTAGCCTGTCAACCATGCAGTGGATACAAACTCGAAATCCCTTCCGGTCAGTCACCATATGGATGTTATCCTTTCGGACTACACACCAGATACACACTACCATGGACATGCGTTGTGCACGATGATGCAATCTACTTGGTTTCAAAGAGCTGCCAAAAAAATGTGTCAATGAATGTATTGGATCGTCACGGCAAGCAACATACAACTTGCTTTGATTGTCGCCACTTGGAGAACAACGAGCAAATAATGGGTGTCCGTAAACGTATGCACAATGGAGTCCACGAGAATTCCAATCACCCATTCTTCTCTTATTTCCAACTCGTCGAGACCATGAAACGTCTGAAGGGGCACAACAATAGGGGCCGCATGTTTTGTCTGTGAAGTTGATGGAGAAGTTCGTGGAACATTGCATGAGCGTTATCGCTGCCTTCGCTGCCCGGCCGTTGCATTTGAGGAACTCGGCCCAAAACTTATTGAGCACATGGGGGTCATATTTTATTTGATCAGGACCTACGAGACAAGCACAATGTCTGCGGCTTGTGTCTCAGCATTGGGTTATGCGAGATTCGACTTGCGAGAGGCGCCGGAGGTTCCGAAGTTGTCGACATCAGTCGCTCGCGCTGCCCGAATCTATTCAAGATCAAGTTGAAGAATGCACGCAAGTCAACAAAGCACTCGCCTTGTACAAACACCCCGCTTCATTGCCCGTATTGCGACAGTGATGCTGCTCCAGTGTGGAAATACTCACTGTCACGTCACATTGATATACTGCACCCATCAGCGAATAAGACACGCTTCGAAGAATTGTGGAGAATTGACAACGAAGAGAGCACACAAATATCAACAAAATTCAAAATGAAGGCTCGGAAACGAAAGCAAATGACAGCGACATCGATGCTGCGGATTTCTGAAGAGCACAGTTCAAGAGTGGCATTACGACAGTGAGTTTCTGTATGAATGAGTCGTGTCTGGATTGAGTAGACTAATGAGCACCCGAACAGACAACGGACAACGGACCACTACACCACTGAGTCTGTGGCTGACTCCGAATCGGCACAAACATCTCTTGCTCAATCATCATCTGCCATATTACTTGGTAAACGTCTGCGAGGTTTGTCTGATGCGAGTGATAGTCAAGACGTACCTTCTGCACCAAAACCTCGTCTCACCATCAAGATTCGTCCCTCAGCAGCACGCCTCAGCTTGGTTCAAGTGAAGAATCGTGTCATTCCAGACTCGGATGCAGACACTCAGCCTGATGACCCATTCCAAGATGAATTTTGCTGGTGTCGAGGGCCGGAGTCCGGAGAAATGGTCCAATGCAGTTTTGATAGCTGTAATGAATGGGTACCTGTCTTGTTTCGATGTGCTTCTATCACCGTGGCTGATTCCGTTTTGATACTAGTTTCATTTTGAATGTGTTGGTTTGCTTGATGCTCCAGAGGCAGATTGGTTCTGCAGTGATATGTGCAGGAGCAACACCAGCTCTCAGAAGAAGACAAAGTAATGTTTTTATAAATCTAAAAGTCGTATATACGATGCCTAGGATGTTTGGCAATACATTGTTCGTTGCTCGTCCGCTGTTGGTGCCACAGAACTTACCAAATTTGGTATACCCCTGGGCGTGGGAAATTCCCACGGGAGGGGGGGAGGGTCTGGGAGGGTCTTAACGATGTAAGGTGGCCTCATGTACATTTTTTCCCGAGCGGGTACCTCTTGGTTGCGGTTGATGTATCAATGCTCCAGCCTGAGGATGCAAAGAATACACACCATTGAAAGCTTCAAAAATTCATCTATTGCTGCCATGCTGAGGGACGAGCGCAGGAGATAATCGGCAACTTCCCACTCTTCTTTGGATGCGAAAGGATAGTAGAGGTTGTCTACCCTGCATTCTGTGTATTCATCGGCGTCAAATAAATCCAAGAAGGTTGAGCCATCTTGAGAGTAACAGGCCCCCGCACCATCATACTCTTCCTCCAGCGATTCTCCAAACATTCCGAATTCATCGTTGATGTTATCATACGAGTGATCCCCATCGTGAACTTCCGGGACGCTGTTGGTATGATCCCCTGTGCGACGCTGGGGAGGAACCACTTCCGCGAACTGCAAAACATCAACAATGTCACGCATATGACTATGACACGAGGATCAAGGCTGGCTCAGGTGTCGAGTGACGCTGCTCTCCTTCGTGAATGTTTTCCCGCACTTTGGGCATGACATTAGTGACATTGAAGATATTAAAATATTCACATGAACTTTGTTGATATCCACCTAACACTGTTATGATGCCCTATCAGAATCGCACTGCAGCCTCTAATCCCCAACACAAACGTGACTCAGTATTTCGAACATTCCATAGTACTACATCCCCTTCTCCAAGTCTCAGAGGATATTCACATGAGCCACGCAACCAAAGACCTCTTCAAACCACGAATCAATCGGCGTTCTATTGGCCTGACTTTGGTGAAGCATCATCAATCAAGGATGAGAACTTCCCTACCGCGCTGCACCTTGTGAGTACCTTGCTTGCTTTTACTTGCCAGGACTCACATTCTGCAGCAAGGTGATTATGCCCCATCGGACGGAGAAATAGAAGGCGATGAACACTCTGATCTTGCGCTTGCGGCTGCCAAAGCTGAACGAAAGGTGTGCGAGGCCGAGAAGCACCTGGCCGACTGCATTTTGGCACACCAATCGGTGATTCTCAACATCTGGCATCAGCGCGTCCAGGCCGCAAATTCTCGTTTGTTGATGGCGGAGCTCAACGTTGGACGCCTCCATACGGAGCAGAAGAAAATTGGTATCTCAATATCCATGACTCGGAGTCATTCAGATGGCACAACAGTGAGTATTCGTCCTCAATTTTGTTATTTGTGAATTTTGAAAGTATGTCTACAGACAGTCGGCACCTCGTCCTTGTACTAAACTCACATATTTGCAGCCTGAGTTAGGCTCGCATTCACACCATCTAAAAATTCTCGAGTTGGGCCCACTGAAGTTCGCATAACGAGACGGAGGCAGAACATATGTAGAGCTTTTATCTTCGACCTTCGTATAGTACTATAGTTCTATTTATGATGTAATTACTTTGTTGCCTTGTAGTTCTTGTATCGCTCTGTGAAACCTTGTGGAACATTGTGAAACCTGTAGTACTGTACCCATGTACCGTCTATGGACTTGTATCATAGGCTCTGTATTGACATGTTGTTTCTGTAACCAAATTTGTAGTTTGCTGATGTATATTGTCCTAGAGGGCCCCCTTCATTGAATATTTATTCATTCTGGTGCGTACAGCCAAATTCCAGTCGAATTAGACACGCCATCAGCCCACCTGTCAAGTCTAATTAGGGTGGGTACGTGGGAACTACAGGTGAACTCTGAAACCGCCGCTGTGTGAGCAGCCTTACACCTTACTAATGAATCTATAGCTAGATAGCCTTGCAGGTCGAACAGGGGTTCATGTGTGTCTCTTCACCTCATGTGGACATGTATATGACACCACCCAGGCAACATGGTTTGGGATGGATAATATTATGGACTTCTGGGAGGATGTCCTCCAAATGGAGGCCAATGAAATCATGTGAAAGCTGGAGCAATGGGTGTGCATGTTAGGTTGAAGTATGTCCTTTCTTGCTTTCCCACCAGTGCTATATTGATATCAACATCCTAGACATTGACGAGTGCAAGACAGTGCAAATCATGCAACGTGTTTGCACTTGTCGGCTTAATTCTGGGCTAAATACATTTGTTTTTTATATCTAACGATAAAACAATACTAACTATCATGTTTTAGGAACTATAATTAAGAGACGGGATGTTCATATCAACTACGCTGTGATGCAAACTTTGGCACCACCATTAAAGAGAAGCTTGGGATTGATCTGAAAGGCTGGCCCGAGGGCATTCCATTCCAATCCCCCACCAGCCTCAATGCTCACAACACCCTTCTGAAGCTCCGCAATGCACTTAAAGATGGCTCTTGCCATTGGTTCCGCATGTCCCCGCGTCAAAGGGAGGAATATACCACTCAACTAGCTGTGCGCCACAAGAGAGGAGAGACCATTGGTAAGCCCTGCAAGAAGCGCTCTGATGCTGGGGTAGCACAAAAATGCAATGGAAAGGAGAACGGATGCCCAAGAAAGTATGCATGAGGGTCTGGGTCCTCTGTACAGCCTCCAAAGAGTGCAGAGTTTGTGGTCACATCTGATGAGGAGGAGACCAGCGAGGATGAAGCTTAGTTATTTGTTTTGCAGGTTTGAAGTCTCGTAGTATACATAAGATCTAATACAATTTGCATTGGCTACTTATATACGAAAATACGGCCAAAATCCGTAAGCACATGAGGGAGATACTCAAGCTCGCTGTTGTACACAGTGAGCACGAAGGTTTGGCAATGATGTGGCTCGATCGGGACACGGGTTCCTAATTTGGCTCCCAGGCACTCAGGGACGGACATGGCCGAGGGCCCGCTTGGTACCTACACCACCCAGCACCTTATACTGTCCTAGAAGGCCCCCTTTATTGAATATTTATTCATTCTGGTGCGTACAGCCAAATTCCAGTCGAATTAGACACGCCATCAGCCCACCTGTCAAGTCTAATTAGGGTGGGTACGTGGGAACTACAGGTGAACTCTGAAACCGCCGCTGTGTGAGCAGCCCTTTCTGCTCACATGGCTCTGTTTGTGCTGAACAAAATAGTCATACAACAATAAGTATACAACTATAAACGTCAAACCAGAGGCCACCAGAATCGATGCCAGGATAACAAAAGGTACTTGTTTCACATGAGTACTACATTCTCTTAACTGCTAGGATCACATTCACAACTTCTAGTACAAGTTACAGAACTTCGTGCTGCCACAAATCTAATTCACCGCTTCGAATATACTAGGGACGAAACTCATCAGCTTATCGCCGTTCGCAAGCCACCACTTTTCCGTCTCCTCATCCGCGTCGTATCCATATTGGATATCACTCTTCGTCTTATCAGCCCACTGATTCGCATTGCCCTCTAGCACAAGCGTGCTCTTCTCGCCGCGCGCAACGCGCAAAGCGTCCTCCATTGCCGCACGCATTTGGTTATCGCGTTCTTCTTGCTCTGGCCCGTCGGGGTGGTGGAAAATGTAGCGGTTCAGATTTGAGGACGTCTGTGTCGCAGTGGCACGTTCGTACCGAAGAGACTGGTAAGCATAGAGCAGCGGCGTAATCTGCGAACGATCCGAGCAGTGCGAGAATAGGTTGCCTAGGACAGCAGCATCTTCAATCTAGAACTCTGATATTAGCACTTGTTTTACTGTCGACACTCCTCCTTACCGCCATGGCTGACCCTTGTGCACGGTATGGCTATAGGGATAACACTCAGCATGCGCTATTTTGATCAAAAATTTACACAAACCAGCATTGGGTGGCATGAGTCGCCCAACAAGGCCAACTTTCCATCCTTGTGAATCCACGATGGCAGTGGGTCTCGGACCATCAACTTCCAATCGAGCGTTGACGGAATAAGCGCTAGAAGCTTTTGAATACTGTGTCCAGTGTCACCAGTTAGCATGAGCACAATGAGTGCATCAAAATGTAGTCACTGACACAATGTTCCACCCTTGGTAGCACTCTCTCATTCGTTCTACATTACCTCCCTCAGTCCACGATTCCACGCCCCCTTCTGTTTCATCAGGGTGCATCATGACGAGGTTGTATTCTTTCTTGGCACGCTGTGCAGCTCCCATTAGCTCCCATTGTCGACTATGTTAATCGAACTGCTTACAATATTATAGCCGACGATATGACCTTTAGGGCCCATCCAAATGATCGATTCCGTCTTCTCCACCAGTGATTTCAGGTCATCATCCTGCAGGAGTTTCTCGGTCGGGATGAGGGCTCTGTAAGCAGAGTCTCCAGTAGCCATAGGTGCATCGGGCCCGCCGACGACATACTGCCGAGTAATACTTTTGACTCCGTCAGCGCCAATGAGTATGTCAGCAGATACAATCTCCCCAGATGCAAGGGTCACACTAGGTTTTGACGGGTCCACGGATACAACACGACAACCTACACGTATGTTACAGTATGGTTCAACTGCCACGTAGAGCATACGGTGAAAATCGGCTCGCTGACTCAATCTGATCAGGCAAAATCAGTGCATCAGGGGGAGCACTCAACATGTACGTGGTAATAAGGGGAGCCGTATTCCTTCACGAACGTCTCCCCAAATGGCGTGAACCCCACGACCTCATCATTCTTCCCTGGAGAACATCAATCAAGAACACCAGGACATTTAATCGTAACTCACATCGTCTAATGCTCAAATTCTGTGGTTTGACACCAAGCTCTTCGAGATGTGGGCCGAGACCCCAGCGCTTTAAGAGGCGCGAGACGTTAGGGCTGGCTTGAATGCCAGCGCCCACGTCACTGATGGCGAACGCTGCTTCGAGGATAGTAACTTTGTGACCTGCTTGTGCGAGGCAGTATGCAGCAGCAAGACCTCCCAGACCGCATCCTATGACTATGATGTCGAGAGGTAGGGAAGCTCGCCTTCCATTGTATAGATGGTCGGGCTGGTGTGTCGTGTCAGCCTGAGACGTCCAGAAGGTCAGTACATAAGTCTCGTGTTGATCGGTCTCACATTGTCACTGACTATTTGAGGTTCTCTGGTGTCCATATCACACAAGGGCTGGAAGGATCAAGAAATGATGGATGAGGCTGGAGTGTGTGAGTGGAAGATTGATATAGGCTGTAAAGGAGGGTTTACTATTTTGCCGCCTTATACTTATCGTCACCGAGTCGGTTCCCTCTGATGTAGACTATTAAATATTGAAATCAGGTCATATCGATCCAATGATTATCAAGGTTTCGCGTCAGTGTTCGCTGACTAGTCGTTTCTCTTCCCTTCGTAGATTTGGCCTCTTGAATTGGAAGCAAGAGTGACGTCTTGAGCATTGGCTCTTTGATTTGGAAGCAGTGACTCACGATAGTTTCGCAGTCGCCGGCCCAGCTTCCTTCAAGTTGAAATTTGAGGGTCGTTGCCGTGATCAAAGTATGTAGCAGTACCTTGCTAAGTCGACACAGCAATTTCAATTACTTTATTATTTATTATCTTTAAATCGATTTGGCGTGCCTGTGGAACAAGAGCCGCTCCGATTTGACCTGATTGGATATAAAGTGGGCATGTTGTCGAGAAGTTCATTAAACGTTCGTGTCGCATGTAATACTGTCGTGATTCTACCAAGCCAAAGTAAGACGCTGAGAGATGATCCTGTCCAATTTGTTTCTAATGTTCGTCACAAATTGCGACTGTGACAGTTAGAAACAGTTCTACAGATCAGAAGCCACTTACGAAACGGACACTCAGAGCCCATCAGGGACAGCGTATATAATTGAATTATCAAGATTAAATAGGGACGCTTACACCTGGGAGCTTACGATGCTTATCTGCAACTTATCTGATAACCCATTAAATATGTTACATATGCGTCCATAGTTGTCGAGCGCCCCTCTGCCATGGATAATCAATTATCCGTGTTTCGTTAATGAAGGATCCGCTGGAAAGCACTAACGGCAGAAAGGCGTTCAAACATCCAGTCAGACACGATAGTAGAACCAGAAGTCTCGGGAACTCATCTGATGTCTTATCGGGGAAGACAGAAGGTGAGGATGGTCGATAAATATTATCCCCACTATGGGCGCACACAAACGACATGGCAGAAAAATTGATGGCCTCATCCTCAGAAAATGGCAAGGCATCGAACACGCGAGAACGTCCAGAAAATGGACGCTCTGAGTCCGTGTCAATCGCTTGGCTGAATTCGGTTAGAGGTTTATCACTGGAAAAGGCCGAGCTGCGCCGGCAGTACCCTTGTTGTGCGACACATTTTCGAGAAAGGCATGAAATGAAGGTGGATCATCTCATCAAACATAAATATCAGATGATCGCATAAGAATAACATAAGTAGTAAAATGATAGGAGGATACAGGAGGGTCACTATACCGATGACGACGGGAGAAGCTTGGTATAACGAGCTGGGGCCTCTCGGCAGGGCCTGCCCTCCCAACGATGACGACGGGGTGGCTTGCAAGAATGTTGTTGTACGTCTTGAGAAATTGAGGTAGAAGATGCCGACGAAGCTCGTATAAGATGTTGAGGGTTTTCAGCCTCTAGGACCGGTAGGACTCCTAACGAGAATGGATGAGCCCGTGAGAGGTGCTGCTGTACTTCTTAAAGAGTTGAGGAGAGGCTCTAGGGAGAGGCAGGTGACTTTCGTCTAGAAGTGTCTATTCAGGTAACAGTAGATTAGATTTGGCGACCAAGTAAAACAGATAAAATACCTAGTATTTTAAAAATTCCCGAGTCCGTGACAGGCCTGCCCTAAGACTGTCCATTAGCCAGACCTTCTGCGCAACTAGATATTCGACTCCAGAGGACTACGAGTACTGCATTCATCAACTTGCTCGGTGAATCAGCAAATGAACAATACATACCAGACATACCACTAGTTCGCAGTGACGTTTGACGATATGAGTGGACGTAGCTTCTTTACACAGCCGTTCCCATCGTTGAACAACCACCTCTGAATCGACCCATGTCAGCCTAAACCAATTCTATTGCATGCAAGCTCGTGATGCTTCTGGCACGCGCGTCGGATGTCTCAGAATCGAGGCACGACTCAAACAGCCAACAATAAACCTAAATGCTAAAAAAAACCAACAGGACATCAGAAAGAAAAGGAACCAAAGACGGGTCCATTGCCACAGATTCGACTCACATGCATGAACGCCGATTCCGCGGGAGGATTTCCGACATAAGTAGAGCACGATGGGCCATGGCATCAGACGGAGTGGCGTTTGATACCGATACTCAATATCACGAGGATTTGGCGTGGGCACGATTAAGTATATATAGCTAGCCTTGCGTCGCACGTAAAATGGACACATGGACAGCCATGGACAAGGACTTGAACTTTCCGGCTGTGATGTTCTGCCCTAGGATTTTTTAAATGGAGTCGTGGGTTTCACTTGGTTCGCAACTGGGCGGCTGCTTACATAATATGAGATAAGATTGAGATAGTCAATTTGTCATGTTGCATTGTTACATTGTTACACTTGTAAAAAATAATAATGAAAGAAGATTCAAAATGTTACAGGTCGGCTGCTCAATAAGTACAGTACCAGTATGAAATAAAGCTAAAAAGCCACCAGATTCTCGTGTATCAGCCAGATAGTCCAGAACAGACAATACAAATAAACAAAAGACTCCTATGCAGTTAGTGATCGCGATTTGCAGAAGACATGACTCTTGGCTTGAGTTCGATTGAAGGAACAAGGGCCGTAAGCCTTTTCCCATTCACGAGCCACCACTTTTCTACCTCCTCATCCGCATCGTATCCAAATTGGATGTCGCTCTTCGTCTTATCAGCCCACTGATTCGAATTGCCTGTTAGTGCATATGTGCTCTTCTCGCCACGCGCAACACGCAAAGCGTCCTCCTTGGCCGCGCGCATCTCACGATCACGCTCCTCTTGCTCTGGCCCGTCGGGTTTGTGGAATATGAACCGGTTTAGACTTGAGGACCTCTGTGTCGCGGTAGCACGGTGGTACCGGATAGACTGGTAGGCACAGAGCAGTGGCGCAATCTGCGAACGATCCGAGCAGTGCGAGAATAGGTTGCCTAGGACGGCAGCGTCTTCAATCTAGAGAACTCTGATATTAGCACTCGTTTTACTGTCAACGCTCCTCCTTACCGCCATGGCTGACCCTTGTGCACGGTATGGCTATAGGGATGACACTCAGCATGCGCTATTTTGATCGAAAATTCGCACAAACCAGCATTGGGTGGCATGAGTCGCCCAACAAGGCCAACTTGCCATCCTTGTGAATCCACGAAGGCAGTGGGTCTCGGTCCATCAACCTCCAATTGAGCGTCGACGGAACAAGTGCCAGAAGCTTTTGAACACTGCGTCCCGCCATCATTCAGCATGAGCACAAGGCGTGGATTAAAACAGAGTCACTAACGTGGTATTCCATCCCTTGTAGGTTTCTATCATTTTGTCCACATTACCTTCAGCAGTCCATGATTCTATGCCCCCTTCAGTATCATCAGGGTGCATCATGACGAGGTTAAATTCTTTCTTGGCACGCTACACAGCCCTCGCATTAGCTTCATTGTTAACCATATTAAGCGAACAGTCGGCTTACAATAGTATAGCCGACAATGTGACCCGCGGGGCCCATCCATATATTCGATTCCATTTTCTCCACCAATGGTCTCAGGTCATCATCCTGTAGGAGTTTCTCGGCCGGGATGAGGGCTCTGTAAGCAGCATCTCCAGTAGCCCTGGGTTTATCGGGCCCGCCAACAACATGCTCCCGAGTAACACTTTTGACTCCGTCGGCGCCAATGAGCAAGTCGGCATATACGATCTCCCCAGATGCAAGGGTCACACTAGGTTTTGATGGGTCCACGGATACAACGCGACTATTAACACGGATGTTACAGTGTGGCTCAGCGGCTTCGTAGAGCACACGGTGGAAATCAGCTCGCTGTCCTAGCTTGGTCAGAAAGAATAGGTGCAATATGGAGAAGACTAACATGTAAGAGGTAGAAAGGAAACCCGTATTCCTTATCAATCAAATCTCCAAGGGGTGTCCACCCTATGACCTCATCGTTGCTCCCTGGAGATTGGCATCAAGCAAGAGCGTCAAAACACTTCGACGTAACTCACATCGTTTAAGGCTTAATGCCTGGATTTTGACACCAATTTCTTGAAGCTGTGGGCCGAGACCCCAACGCATCAAGAGACGCGAGACATTGGGGCTGGATTGGATACCAGCGCCTACTTCACCGATGGCCGACGCTGCTTCGAGGATGGTGATGTTGTGGCCTGCCTGTGCAAGGCAATATGCAGCAGCGAGACCTCCCAAACCACATCCTATGACTACAATGTTGAGGGGCAGCGAAGCTCGCCTTCCTTTGTATAGATGGTCCGGCTGAGTCGAGCCAGCCTAAGGTATCCAGAAGGTCAGCACATAGTTCCGGTTTGATAGGGCCCACATCAATACTAACTGTTTTAGATTGCTGTGCGTTCATTGTATCACTCAAAGAGCAGGACTTCGAGATAACAGAGTGGGGATGATGGAGGGGACTGAAAGTGATTGATGATTGATGTGGATGGACTATTGATATAGGCTGCTAAGGAGAATCGGAATGTACCTTATTTTGTCGTATCGATCCAATCATCAGGAGTTCCGCGCCCGAATCCATGACTGACTAGTCGTTTTTCTTTCTCCGTGGGTTCTGTCTCCTGAATTGGAATCAGGAGTAGTCTCTTACTTGAAGATGTCAGCATTGGTCCTTTGAGCCAGGGGGTAAAACAGATCATTATTTCGTAGTTACTGGCCAAGATTTACTTCCGGGCGGCCGCTGCCATGAAGATCCATCACTCAAAGCATCTTGACAGTCAGGGCTTGTTCTGTGTCTAAATGATTCGTTATCCGATAAACTCGGCTTGTATGTCATGTGGACGCACATAATGTTATTAAAATTGTTGAGTAAGTTTGTCAAAATGTTTATCCAAATTCTCATGCACATGAGCTTCCACAGCGAGCCCGGGAGGTTTAACTCAGAGTCAGAATGCTTGCAAAGACGATTATAATAGGAGTGGGTAAGACAAGACGGTCGCAGTATGGTTGCCGGACTGTTGGGTATCCAATTAGTAATTCCATTCTCGACGAAAGGTAATGCAAAGGGACACTGCAAGGAAAAATGAATTACCGCAGTAAACATTTAGAGGAGACTCCCCGTGGCCGAGGAACGAAGACAAAATGTCGAATCTGCTCCATGTATACGGTCGACTATGACAGGCTTATGATAAGCCTAGCTTGTATATTCACTATCCTGAATGATGACAAGCGTGGGCATGTGTGACTCATGAGGTACAGTAGGGACTGTGCCACGGTCACGGGTTGCAGCCCCGGCCTCCGGGCAACCTATGCATGGCGTATAGCGTAGGAGATAAGATTGAATGAGCTGCCCAAGAGGTCAGTGCACTCATCCTGATTTAGGACTACTGTCAAATGCTATTCTCGATGGGTAGGCACCATCGGACGTACGAGTAACTTGGGGATAGATGATGTTTTAAAAAAAAATTG